GGGGGTCGCGGGGGGTAGAGACTGACGCGAGAATTTTGCGACCAATAAAGCGGAGCCGATAAACTGCTTTGCAGTTGCGGAGGCGGAGGCGGCGGCGCCCGGGCCGTGAATGACCTTTACGCCCTTCGGTACACCAGCGCCGCGCCGCGCCCTGGGCACGGCCACCTTGTTCACGTCCGGGGTCTCCTTTAGGTCGGCGCCGCCCGAGCGCCCGCTTTGTTTAGATTATGATTTATCCCACTATATTTGCGGGCCCGCTCGCGAATATGAAATGCAATAAAATGGTCCGCGGGGTTTTGGCGCCGCCGCGCTGTGCTTTGTGGGGCGGCCTCGGCCATTATTAACGGAGCAATCATCTGAATGTTCCGGCTGCCATTACCAACCCCGAGCAGCGCACCCTGGGCCGGGCCGGGGCCGGGCGCACCAATCTCACATACTGTTAAATATACTTATTTGGAAAGAACGCAGGGCAAAAACTTCGGTTTTGCCTGAAGCGATTCTTAGATAGTACATGGGAAACACGAAAACTTTTAGGGGCTACCTATTAAATTAAGTTGTATGTAGAACGGTTTAAATTAGGATGTCGCGAGGCTCTCGATGATCTGAGGAGTGTCCTTCTCATTTTTATCATAAGATGGGAATTTCCCAAAATGTTGAAAAGCTTGAAAATTTTCTTTTTTTTCGGAATAGGCCTGTTTTAGAGTGACACAAAACTGTCTGCCTATAATGTACCTTTTATCCCGGGTCAATTTTTTGAAACGTTAACGTTAACCATTTCTGCTCGCACACGCACGATCGTGCCCCGGCCACTGCCGACACCATAACCACAACAGACTTGGCAGTCCGAACAGCTTTGCCGTCGCCCCGCCCTGTCCGCCCCGCCCCGCACGTACGTATAGGGGTTTAATATCTCTCGAGATGGCAGCGACCAGGCCCAGACCAGCCGAGCAGGGCGGGACCGAGCATCTTGGCAGTGGCGGGGAATAGCAAAACCTCTGCCGGCTGCAACAACATTCTCCCCCCCCCCCGCATCCTCACCCGCTGCCCCGCCCCACCACGCCCTGCCCCGCCTCCGCCCTGCCATGCCCTGCCCTAAAGGCCGTGCTGAAGGCGTTGCGTGGATCGATGCCCTAGTGCTGCGCGATACAACAGCGTCCGCCGGCCAGCAGCAGGCGGCGCAGGGCAGGACTTTGCTTTGGTCGCTCTCCCTCTCCCTCATCACCCCCTCTCTCTTCTCGCGTTGCCCCCTCACCCCCTCTCTCTTCTCGCGTTGCCCCCCCCCCTCTCTCTCTCTACCCGCCCTCGCCGTGATGGACTGTGTAGGTACGCCGCTTATTACCATCAATAATTGTTGCGGCGGATCTGGGAAATCTCTTGGAAGTGGGTGGGCGGGGTGGTCCGCGCCGGGCCGAGGCCAGTGCTAAGGCCGAGGCTAAGGCCGTGTTATTAACCGCAATCCCCGGCCTCCGCCCCAGGCCACGGCCGGGCCACGGCCTCGGCCGACCCGACGCCTCCCTCATGAGCGGCCGCCCGACCCCCATAGCCTCGAGCCCGACCCGGCCCGACCCCTCCCACCAATCGGATTTGACGCGCGCCTTGTTTTCGAACCACGCACTGTAAAAGTAGCTGCTTAACGAACTCCATACATTTTTTCGCCCACTCTGTGTGTTACCGACGCGGCCGATGCATTCACGGTACACGGAAAAAAAAGATTCGCTGAGTTAGCTAATATATTGACTGGTATCTGGACAGACAAGCACATAAACTTCTGTAACCACTATATTGTCTACTCTAATCAATCATTGGCTGTGCCAGTTAAAAATTAGCTGTAAGAGCTTATCCCTTCCCTAAATCAGTCGAGGTCCCCTGACGAGCCGAAAGACAGAGGAAGGACATCAAATATTGTCTCTGGCTTGTCTGAAACGTGTCTTTATGTCTGGAAACTGTCTTTTTAACGTCCTGCAAGACATACGTGTCCTTTGATTGTCTCTATATTGTCCAGTTGCTGTCTTTTTAATGTCCTTTTCGTGTCCCGTTGGACATTGTATCCGCGAGGTCCTGGATTTGTCCCCACCACCGGTGTCTTATGTGTGTCCCCATGGACACTTGTCCCGATCATGTCCAAAGGTTGTCCAATCATCGATGTCCCGTCCATGTCCTTGTTGACATTGTCTCAGGGTGTCCGTGTAGTCAGTACGTAGAAAGGCATCATGTCCCAGCACAGCCATCGTTAGAAGCAACCGATGGGTGAGGGGTAGCGTCCGCGCTCTCGAACTCAAAGGTTGAGGGTTCTACTCCCAGCAGTTCTGACATATTAATTGGAAGAAAGTACTAACCAACGGTGGAAAGAGTACTTCGGGTAAGGAGGGCAAAGTTTTTGGTTCGAAAAACTGTACAATTTTAGCGTTCTATGCTGTTTTTCATGCTTGTCCGGAAGGACAAATTTTTGTCCCATTTTGTCCTGTCCTGAAATTGAAACATAAAGACATGTCCTAGGGACATTCTTAGGACACACAAATAGTGTCCCAAACGATGTCCTATACATGTCTTGTCTTTTCATGTCCCTCGGCTCGTCAGGGTCTACCTTACTGATGCAGGCAAATCATTATTTCATACAACTTATCATTGACTGGCACAGCCAATGATTGATTAGGGTAGCCAATATATTGGTTACAGAAGTTTATGTGCTTGTCTGTCCAGATACCAGTTAATATATTAGCTGACTCAGCGAATCTTTTTTTTTTCGTGTATTTCGCCTCGAAACTGGTCGTTGCGTTACTGTCCTTTGGAGTGCAGCAGTGTTGTTCATCCCCTCTCCTGCTGTTCTCCCCCGCTGCAGAACACCTGCAGGGTGGGGGTGGGGGCCGTGGTGGTGTGCCCCGGGTGGCGCCCGCTGCTAGGTGGTAGCAGCACTGTCGCGGAGCGGTGACTGTAGCACTCACCTTGACCTCCGGCCCTGCGTGCAGCCCGCCCGCCCGCCGCGCGCCCCACTGTATCCTGCCGTGTGTCGCCAAGGACCCGACAAGGACCTGCCCTGCGCGTCTGCGTCATTAATCCTTAAAGAACATAAAATTGGATCTAATATTTTGTATGAATACCACGTCTCCGCATATCATGATGCCTGCAATAAGTCGAATGATGCTGATTGTGATGATGGGCAACTGTTGTATAGCAGTTAAACACTCACCAGTGTATCTAGTTTTTAAGTTTTTGAAGTTAAATTTGGACCCGCGTTTTGTTTATAAAAGACTCTTCTTTTCCTAGTACTGTGAGATGCTCCATAGGAATTTCTGATATAAGATAATTCGTTAATGTTCAGCAGACTTTATTTCCCGTCATGATACAACACAAGCACGCAACTTAAACCGTTGGGTAGCTGGCCATGCTGGCGATACCACAGTGGTTCTTCTTGTTGCGGGCGATCTTGATGTAGCCCTGCTCACCCCAGGTGGTGCCCCAGGAGTTCTTGACGAGCCAGAACTCCTTGTTGAGCCATTCGCTGCCGTAGCCGACGGCGAGCACACCGTGGTCCAGGGAGTCGGAGGAGCAGGCAGGCTCGTAGTAGACGCCGCTCTTGTACATCTGGAAGCTCCACTGGCTGGCGTCGATGGCGACGGACACGGGGCCGACCTTGGTGATGGCGTCGAGGAGGGCGCTCTCGCTGCGAGACTCGACGTCGATGTAACCGGTGTTGACGCCAGAATTGTAATCTACGATGTACTGGCATTCACCGCCATCCTAAAAAATATCATCGAGCGATGTGGATGTGAAAGGAGAGCCCCAAGACGTCTGCTAACAACTGAGTCTCACCGCCGCCGTGACCCACCTTTTCGGTGTAGGGGTAGCTCTCCTCGGTGTCGATGCCGCCGTTAGCCTTGACGTACTCGAAAGCATTGGTCATCAGACCACCGTGGCAACCGTGGTTACCGAACTCCGTAGAGCAGTCGATAAGGTTCTGCTCACTGAGGGACACCAGTGTCTTGGTCTTCTTGAATAACTGACCCTCGAGGGCACCGGTCTAAAAAGTAAACCGATTTGTAGTATAAGTAAGGATAAGTGTGTCAAAGAGGGTGACAGCCTTAGTGACAACCGCGACAACTTACAGCAGAGAAAGACCAGCAGGAGCCGCACTGGCCCTGGTCTTTGACGGGGGTGACGTAGCCTTGAGACCTCCAGTCGACCTTCTTGCTCCACGGCCAAGACACAGACATGTTGGAGGCCTTGTGCACTTGAGCGCTGGGCTTCTTCATCTCCATGCGGAAACCGTTCATCTTCTCAGTAACCTCGTGGGTGTGCTGGAGGAAACATTCGTCATTAGGAATATGACTTAGTATTGCACGTCCAAATCTTTCGTGAAACCGCCTTATATTTCATCGGTTCTTTAACTGCTTTAACTTACCATGTCAGCGTACTGGTTGTAGCCGACCTTGAAGGTGACGTCGCCGCTGGCGAAGCGGTCGTTGTGCTTGGCGATCCTGATGGCGTTTTCCTTGAACACCTTGGCCCTGTAGGCCTCCTCGACGGCGTTGGCGTACGTCTTGGCGTGGGTGGCCTTAAAGCTCTCCCAGTGGGCCTTGATCTCCATGTCCGAGGGGATGGCGGCCATGGCGGCCAGCACGCAGGCGGCGAGGACGATGAGGACCTTCATGATGTCTAAAAAAGAAAACGAAATCATTGCTTCTAGCACGACTGGGGTCGAGATGGTTGAACAATAGCTTGTCGCCTCGGGTGTCAACGAGGCAAGTTACCTGCTACACTTACCGGACTCGAGTGTACTGCTTTCGGATGGAAGTCGCGCCTTTATAACTTGATCTCCCGGATATACCACCTTCAGTGAATCGGTTGTACGATAATGCATCCAGTCAATGCGCCAATGAGCAGAGGTCAAGGGCCATTCTTATCTCCTGTTTAATTAACCGACTGATGCACATAGCTGTAGTACTTCACTATAATGACGCGTGTCCGTCACGAGATAATGACGTACTCGTAGATGAGGTCATTGAGTCCGGTAGACATTGTATGAATTTGAGTCGACAGAGGAACATTCTTCAGACGTTTTTTTTGGGTACACGGTCACAACGATTCCTGGGATTCGCATGAGAGTTGGAACCCCAGTGGATGCCCTGGAAACAAATTTCTCTCAAGGGATGTCCTAGGTTTTCCAAAATTTCACATTTCCCCTGGGACTCTTCTAACTCCCCGGGAAAATAAAGAAAACTTCTGGGAATCCCAGGGCTCGTTTCTACCGTGCAGGGTGGAAGTGCCGGACAGAGGACAACATCCTGAATAAAGGACTGAATGTTAGGAACACATTGAGATTTTACAGTATTTCTACCATACGAAGCCCACTTGTGCGACGCGGTGATTTCGGCGTTGTTGCGTGATACCGAGTGTTTCGGCTTGGCCTGACTTTGATATCGGTCCCATATCGAAAACGATGGCAGTATGGCGGAGACGGAGGGGGCGGGGAAGGCTGGTGCGTGGCTCCTCTCTTCTCGCGTGACTGGAGGGGATTTGTGGCGCGGCTGGGCGCGGTGGCGTTCGACGGGACAGCAGACGGGGTGGGCCGGCCGACTACAGTGGAGGTGCCGATGCCTTTAAATGTTAAGGACGATGCTCAATAATGCAATCGGCTTGACGGCGGTGATGTCGAGCACGCGAGTCATAAAGACTAAACACCACTGCAGCGGCGCGAGCAAAGCGTTTGGCCCCAAACTGTCGAATAATAATAACATAATAACGCGCTTCCAGTTTACTCTGGTCCGAGAGGCGCTCTGAATCTAATGAGTAATAAAAGGTTTCTCTCCTCTCTCCCCGCTCCGCTCCCTGCGGGCGGGGGGTCCTGCTGTCCCGGTCTGGCGCCGCTCCCTCCCCCCCTCTCTCATCCCTTGTACCGGAAACAAAAGGGGTGGCCATGGCGGGGCCCAGACGGACGGACCGTTCTGATATTGCCCCACACCCCCCGCCCGCCTCCCCCGCGGTCTCTGCGGCGAGGTCCCCGAGGAGGAGAAGAGGAGCTGCAGCCCGAGCTGTGATTCCTCTGGACGGACGGAACGGCACGGCTTTATAGTTTGTTGGCTCCTTGTTCACCCCGAGAGGGGAGGGGGAGAGGAGAGGCCCGGGGGGCGGCCCCAGGACGACGACGCCGTCCGTCTGCCATGGCGCTGGCGCTGGTGCTGGCTGGCCTTAAACCTCCGCGCCGTGGAAATGAGAAAAGTGCGCGCGCCAACAAACTCCTGACAATGAAATAACCGCAGCAGCCTGGTGGGCAGGGCGGGGTGGTGGGCGGTGGTGGGTCCGGTGGGCCAATAATTGAGGCACGCGGCCGTGGGCCGTGGTGGGCTCTAGGGATGGCCAGGGAGGCCCGGGGAGGCCCGAGCTCGCGCGCGTGGCGGCGGCGCGGCGCGGCGCGTCAAGCATTTCGATGTAGTTAGTTTGCGCTCCACGGAGGGTTAGTCGATGCGGAGGCCCTGGAATTCCCCGCTCCTCTCGTCGGGTGTGTATTTACAGTATATAGTGTTGTGCGCCGCCTCAGAGGCACACTCTCACCCCCCCCCCCCTCTCTCTCTCTCTCTCTCTCTCTCTCTCTCCCCCCCTCTCTCTCTCGACTCTCACCTTCCATAATCCTCGCGCCGTGGTGTAAAGCAAACGCAGAGGGTGCCGTGTCGTGCGCCGTGCCCTGCTGCTGCGGCGTCGGGCGTCAGGCACACCTGAATTGTGTGCACAGGTGTCGACAGTTTGGGGAGAGTCTGAGACAAGTCATCATTGCAGCCAAAACTGTATGCAATGCACCTTGAGAGTCCTACCCGGAAGGTTCACCTTGACGGCCCTACCTTTCTACCTTATGGATCCTACCTCCCGGCTCCCACCTTTGAATGGCCCGCGCTGAAGGGCCTACCCTTTTGTTTGCCATTGACCAATGCTCTGTCCGGGTAGAATGGATGCTCGCTGTTTGCGAGTCGACCTTCCGGCCGCCCACTCCTGCCGTGCCGCATTATTTGTGAGCCTGGTGCGCGATGAGCAGAGCACCTGGCGCCGCCCCGCCCCGCCTTACCGCGCCCTGGCTCACTTCGGACCGCCTTACCGCCTTAGCCCACACTGCGCCTTACCACCGCGCCCTGCCGCACCTCGGACCGCCTCGCCCGCGGTCCGTCCGTCTGTTTCATTTCTCCCGGCCCGCTCGTTCTCCTCCCCCAAGTGTCTGTCAGGCACTCACCGGCCGCGGGAGACGCGGCGCGCCGGCGTCCAAACTTTGTTCAATCCTTCAACGTAAAGCCCCGCCGCACTGCGTCGCGCCCTATAGCAGCGCCCCGCCTCAGCGCCCCGCCCCAGCGCCCCGCCTCAGCGCCCTGCCTCAGCGCCCCGCCTCAGCGCCCCACCCCAGCCCTGGGCTTTGACCCGACTTTTCTTTGTGTTGGGAGTTTGATGCCCCAAATCTCAGAAGGAAATAGATCGGCGCTGCGTCACATACGATGGGGCACTTGGCCCCAACACGAAAAAAGGAGGATGAGCATGAGTTGGAAAAGGGGGGGGGGGTACTTTTTGCTGTTACTCAGAAAAAAACTGGCCTGCCGGCCGGTAACGAGACAGTCCGGCTCCAAAAACAAATTCAAAATATTCAGGCGCTAAGGCCTATATTTTTAAATTCAATAAGGCATCCAAATAAAACTGAATATCTTATCAAAATCGGAACGTTAATCGGCAATATCCAACAACGGTGACCTTTATCAAAACGGGATACTTTCGCCTCACCCAGGAGCGCTTTTTTGTTTTTATGTTACGGAAAGCTGTCGTTAAAATCAAAAACAACGAAAATCAGCAAATTATGCTAGAACCACCATTCAAATTTTGCTGGATTCGTAATTTCTGCGCGTGCGAAAACAAGCACATTTCATATTTCAGAGCGCTGTGGTTCAACTTTAAAATTTGAGGCTGGGGATCACTTGTCAAGTGGACGGGCCATGTGGCGCCCGGTGCCGATTGAGCTCCAAGTGGGTAGGGGCTGGGGGCGCGGGGCGCGAGGCGCAACGTAGCGTACGAAAAAGTTTAGTCCGGCATC